GTGCAGGGGCCCAAGGGCTTGGGTCATCCTCCGTTGCTTTCCCTTAGAGAGCTGGACTCAAGTGGAGCAGTGGGGACTAGAACCAGCGCCCACAAGGGATGCTGGCACTGTGCTGGCCCCTGAGGCTGGAGTTTTGATTCCATCCTCCTGCTTTCCTTTAGTTTTTGTTCCTTTTCAGAAACTCCCCTCTTGGCATGGGCTTGTGGCATAGCTGTGGATCTTTGTACCCTCTGTTGGAGTGCCTACTCCAGGTCCCAGCTCCTCTATCTCGGATCCCATTCCTGCTAGTGCATGCCCAGAGAGGCAGCAGATGGTGGCAGAAGGCCTGGGTGGAGTTCCAAGTTCCTGACCCTAGCCTAGCCCATTGCTGGTTGTTGTAGGCATTGGGAGATTGAGCAAGGAACGAAGGATATCTCTCTTTCTTTGTTTTTTTTTTTTCTTATAGATTTATTTATTTCTACTTGAAAGATTTAGAGAGAGGGAGAGGCAGAGAGCGTGATCTTCCCTGTGCTGGACCACTCCCCAAATGATGGTGATGGCTAGAGCTGGGTGGGTGCGTGGGTACAGGGACTCCTCGTCTACTTCCCTCCCAGGCTGCAAGCAGGGAGCGGATCGCAGGTGTGTGGGATGGCTGATGCTTGCAGCTGGAGGATTACGAGCTGAGCCGCTCCAGCCCCCCTCTCTCCTTCCTTTTGTCTCTTGTTCTTTTACTCTTTCCTTCCTTTTGTTTTTTTGAATAAAAATGAATATAAATAAAAATTGTATAAAATGTGTTCCAAGCCATCATTTATCTGTGTGTGTGTGTGTGTGAGAGAGAGAGAGACAGACAGACAGACAACAGACAGATACACAGAGAGATAGTAGAGAGGAATTTTGAGGTCTGCTATCCTAAGAAGTCCTGGAGTGTCATAAAATTGAAGCCCCTTTGTCTGAAATGGCTGTTGTTAAAAGAAACACATGTTTCGTGGTCAGTGGCAAGTACTGAGCCACGTAGAGGGATTCTGTGTAGCAGTTTTTTTCTAGTGCATATGAATATATGGTTTCAGTGATAAAAATCATAAGATTAAAAACAATTATGTAGGTCATATTATGATTTTTTTTAAAATAAAAGTTTGTTTATTTGAAAGGCAGAGGGGTGAAGATAGTAGAGTCTGTCTTCCATTTGCGGTTGCCCCTCAGACGACTGGGCACGGCCAGGTGGAAAGCTGGAGCTTGCACTCCTGTGGGGTCACCAGTGTGGGTTCAGGTGCCCACGCATTCCAGCCTTCTGCTCTGCTTTCCCAAGTGCAGTGGAGCTGGATTGGAAGTAGAATGTTGGGAACTTGAACTGGCACCACATGGTTTGCTGGCACTGCAGTGTGCTTCTGAATCCGCTGTGTCACAGTGTCAGCCTCAGATTTTGCATTTTTTTAAAATCAACATTTGTTGTTTTAGAATCCCTAGAAATATTTAAACCTTTAGGAAACTTTTTTTTTCCAGTACGGGTGCCTACTGAGTTCTTGTGTTTGGTTCTTCTGAACTGTCTCGGGTCTTCCAGCCCATTCAGAGCAGAGCTGCCTTGTTAATGCCATCCCTTCACGGTGTCCTCTCAGCGGAGGATGCCAGCCAGGGCTCTGGTCAGGCCGGGCAGCGGTGTCGCCCTGCATCAGGGCAGAGGTGACGGGCATCTTCATTTTCAGTGCTTTTCTTCATTTCATGGCTATCCAGTGTTTTGTTGATTTCTTCATTTAAAGTGAATCAGAATGAAAATCTCACTAAAAATTAATGCAAAGAAATACTCCCTTCTAGTTCAAGACTGTAGTTCTTTTTACTATGAAGTCAGTATAAAGATACGTATTTTAGAGAAAATTTGGAAATTAGGAAAGCAAAGGAAAAATTGTGATAGTCCAGGACAACAAAATCCATTTCTTTCTAGGACATTTTTTCCTCTGCAGTATTTTTGTATTTGATCATCTCCTGATTTTTTTTTTTTTATTAATTTGGGCCCAGTATGGTAGCCTAGTGGATAAAGTCCTTGCCTTGCATATGCTGGGATTCCATATGGGTGCCATTTTGTGTCACTGCTGCTCCACTTCCATCCAGTTCCCTACTTGCAGCCTGGGACAGCAGTGGAAAGCCTTGGGATCCTAGGTCTGCGTGGGAGGCCTGGAAGAAGGTCTTTGCTCCTGGCTTCAGATCGGCTCAGCTCTGGCCATTGCAGCTGAGTGAACCAGCGGACAGAAGTTCTTTATCTCTCCTTTTCTGTAAATCTGCCTTTCCAATAAAATAAATAAATAAATCTTAATTAAAAAAATTAATTTGAAAGGCAGAGATACACAGAGAGAGCTCTTCTGTCTGCTGCTTTTTTCCCCAAGCATCTGCAAGGCCATATGGGTGCTAGTTTGTGCTTTGGCTGCTGGTGTAGCCGGGAGAGCAGCAGAAGGGGGCCCGGTGCCCCCGCGTGCCCCTGGGAGACCCCGGTGAAGCTCCTGGCCCAGCCCCCGCTGTTGAGTTCATTTGGGAAGTGAGCCAGCAAATCAAAGTTAGTCTCCATCTCTTTCTCCCACCTCCTCCTTTACTCCTTCTTTCTCTATAATTCTACCTTTCAAATAAATAAATAGTTTTTAAAAAGTTTATTTAATTTGTGTTTATGTGAAAGAGAGGGAAAGAGAAGTGATCTCCAATCCTCTGAGTCCATCTCCGCACGCCCCCTGAGCTGGACTCGGAGGAGCCCGTAACTGCATTGGGTTTGCCCCGTGGATGGCATGACCAACGTACTGCAGCTGATCTCTGCCGTCTCCCATCATAGGGACCACCCATAGCCTCACTGGGTCCCAATTACCTCTCCCAAAACCCAGCTACAAGTACTATCAGCATATAAATTAGGAGATTAAGTTTTTAACATATGAGCTTCAGACCACAACACGTGTTCTTTCCTTTACTTGCGCTGTATGTGCCATTCTTACTGCGTTTATGTTGTCCTCCTTGAGTGGTCTAATTGAGGACAGTTTCAGACTGGAAATCTCATTTGTTCTGTGAACATGCTTGGTTGATAATACTTGCCTACATTGTTTCTTTGTGGCGCCACCTGAACATTTTTACCTTGTTGTTCCCTTCCAGGTTGTCATCACGAAAGCCAAAGTGGATTTCTCCAGTGTGGTGTGCCTCCCCCCTTCCGTCATTGCTGTGAATGGGCTGGACGGAGGAGGGGCTGGCGAGAATGAGGACGAGCCGGTGCTGGTGTCGCTGTCCGCGGCCCCCAGCCCCCAGAGCGAAGCTGTTGCCAATGAATTGCAGGAGCTGTCCCTGCAGCCCGAGCTGACCCTAGGCCTGCACCCTGGCAAGAACCCCAACTTGCCTCCACTCAGTGAGCGGAAGAATGGTGAGTCCAGAGGGTGAGAATGTGGTCATTGTCCTGTCTGACTTGAACCAGGACCAACATTATTATTTTCTTTTGTTTTAGTGCATGTCACTGAAGAATTGTACTGTTTCTTTATCAGGTCTGTACAGAGAAATGGTGGTAAATGTAGGTGCTCATTGTAAGCCCAACATTTCCTCCCTGGAATAGTATAACTGCTTTCTGATTTGTCTTCCTACTTCTCTGCTTCTTCCACCCTGTTCCTTCCGTTATTTTGATACCTATTTGGCATCAATACATAATTAGCTACTAAAGATTTAGAATTAAGGGATGAACTTTTGGCACAGTGGCTAAAAGTTGCTGCTTGGAATGCTTGCATCCCATGCGAGTGCCAGTTCAAGTCCCAGGTATTCTGCTTCTCATTTAGCTTTCTGTCCCTCTGCGCTCTGGGAGACAGCAGATGAGCGCTTGCCTCCCTGTGGGAGACCAGGCTAGAGATGAGGACTCCTGGCTCTGTCTTGGCCCAGCCCTGGCTGTTGTGGGCGTTTGGGGATGAAGCAGCAGCCTGGGTCTGGGGAGGGGAGCGGCATCGCTGTGGCGCTGGAGGAATGTCGGTGGGAGTGAGGGAGACGGCAGAACACTGGTATGTGGACAGTGGATTCGAGTGAGGGCAGCCATGGCTGTCGGGCGGAGAGGCCTTGCGCATCCTCACATTCCTCTCATAAAAGTGTCTCCTTCTGTGTCGGAAGTCCTGAGAGAGTAGTTTCCAGTCCTTGTCTCTAATGTCCCGAGACTTCGGTGCTCTCTGGCTTCTGTCATCACCTTTCAGGTACTGCCATTGCCTGGGTCCCCTGTGTCCTTTTGTAGTGGATCCTGTAGCCAGGCTTAGGTCTTAATCCTACTTGCTCGCTCTCCAGCTGTGACATGCATGACCCCTCTCCCCTCACTGCCATGGTGACACTACTCTCTCCTGGCCTTTTTTGTAAAACTTTCTGGTGATTTCCCTCTCCTTGACTGATTTTCCCCGTATTATTACAATAGTATAGCCCTAAGTTCATCATTCTCTTTCCTGGCCTTTTGATTTCCATCTTTCTAGCCATTTCTTCTCCTACTTAGATTGCTTTCTTTCTCTCTATACACCTCAAAATTTGCTACTCCCCAGCAGTCAGCCCTGGGGGAAGAGGTCAGATGAACTAGTGAGAAAGTCATCTTTATATTTTGTGCTGGGTCTTTTCCTGGTCATGTGTAGGGAGGTAAGGGTAGAGTAGAAATGGAATACTCTGGAAAATGTGTCATTCCATTAGAATAAATTCTGACATCGGAGCAGGTGCTCTTTTGTGAATGGATGTGCTGCATGAGGAGAGAAATTTGCTTCCTAGACATGTTCCACCTAGACACATCCTGTACAGAAATCCCAGGGACTAGAGCTGTGGTGCAGTGGGTCAGACTGCCTCCTGTGATGTGTGCATCCTGCGTGGTGCAGTTCAAGTCCTGGCTGCTCCACTTTTCTGCAGCTCCCTGTTAATGAACCTGGGAAAGCAGCAGACATGGCTGTTGCAGCCATTTGAGAAGTAAACGAGCAGATGAAAGATTCTCTCTTTCTCAAACTCTGATTTTCAAATAAATAGGAATTTGCTGTGTTAGCAGTAGTCCTAGACAGTAGGCACTCAAGGTCGTGACACTCCGATTTGCTAAGCAGAGAAGATGCCCTCAGTTTAAGTGCACCTTGTTGTCCCAATTCCCCTTTCTCCTAGGCCAAGTGCTTAGGTGTAACTGGGTCCTGTGCAGCCTAGGCCTGGAAGCCTGGAGAAACCCTCTAGTGTGCCCTTGGACTCCAGCTCAGCGGGCGCTGTTGAGGGAACTTGTCATGGTGGAGAACAGGTTTTTTAATGAGATGTATTTATTCTTGAACAGTATGGATTAGTTGAAGTTTACATGCCTGGGATGATTATGCAGTCTTCTTTGGCTCAGCACAGATGAGAATAGATGTGAGTCCTTAGTAGTCAATGAATTTTGTAGCTTGCTTTTCTGGAAATAATTTTTTATATGAGGATGCCTGTTTTTCTGTGTTTACCATTTGATTTCATTGGTCCATCTTAAGTGCGTAGAAAGGCCTCGCAATTTTAATTGTTAAAATTTAAGTATAACTGTAATAAACTCTTGTGTATAGAAATAGTAATTCTTTCTGCTGTGTTCTTTTTCAAGAATGTTTGTCCTGGCTATTCTTGGTTTTTTCTATTTCCATATGAATTTTGAAGTCATTATGGGAGGTAGTGAGTATCTGACAGGGTCAGGGTACACATTAAGGTTCCCACATGCTGCACTGAAGTGATCGGTACAAGTCCCAGCCCTTCTACTTCTGACCCAGCTTCCTGGTGAGGGTGCCCTGCGAGGCGGCAGGCATTGAGTTTCAGTCGTCTGGCTTGTCTCGCCCAGCCCTCACTGTTGTGAGCGTTTGAGGAGTGAACCAGCAGACAGAAAATCTACCTTTCAATTAAAATGTAAAAAAATATTGAAATTGTGAAAAAAAAATCATTATGGAGTTTTGATTGGAATTATGTCTGTCAATCAATTTGGGACAGATTGATAACTTTGTAGAGATTTATACCCCGAATATAGTATATTTTCCCCACTTATTTATATCTTTTTATATGTTCACCCAAGAGGTTTTAAAATTTTCTCAGTAGTGAAACTTTGTCTTGTTAAATTTACTTTTAGCCACTTGATATGTTTGAAAAATGTTGCAAATGTTACCTTTTTAATTTTTTTCCAATTGTTTTGCTGATGGCGAATCTTGTTGTGAGAAAGGTAACAGATCCCGACTGCCTGTGTCTGCTCTCAGGGTTGCTGAACAGGGTGGGCAGAGCTAAGAAAGAAGGAAGCAGAGACTTGGGGCGTGAAAGTGCCTGCTGTGGCCCTGCGTGCGGCTGCTCCCCATGCGAGGTGTGCGCGGTGTTCGGTTGTGTTTGCACGCTTGTGGAGGGAAGGGTAGATGATGGATTATTTCTGTAAGAGAACAGACTGTGTGCTGCATGTTGTAGTGTTGCACAGGAAGTACCGAAATTAATTGTTGGAAGAAATAAAAATCCTGAGTGGGCAGCTTCTGATGCGCTTTACCACATCCTCAGGAAAAGCAGAGATGTGTAGATTATGTCCCTCAGAGCCTTATGGATTTTCCAGATTAGCTCTCCCAGTTGAAAATTCCCAGTTCTTGGGCCCGGCGCGATGGCTCAGTGGCTAAGGCCCTCGCCTTGCACACCCGGGATCCCATATGGGTGCCAGTTCTAATCCCGGCGGCCCCGTTTCCCATCCAGCTCTCTGCATAACCCGCTGCATTCCAGAACTGGAAAGATAACCAGGTTCCCATTTTTATGTTTTCATCAAATGTTCTGCTGTGTCCCGTTGGAACAAATCAACGCATAGAATCCAAGCTTAAAACAAGCAAACAAGAAACGAGAAAACAACGAAACAAAACCCACACTCTCAAATGTTTCCTTTCCTCAGAGAAATTATTGCTGACATGTGGTCAATTTCCATCCACTGCTGTTCCAGATGTGTGCTCTTACCCCTGAGCTGGTACTAGGCTCCTCTGTGGTCACTGAGTGTGCAGTGTGGGCCTGGTCACTGGTCACTTCCTGGGAACCTCTTTAATGAGTGTGTAGCGTAGCATTCTGTTCTGTGTTGCTGTTTATTTCCGCCCAGTTGGATGTTTGAACCGTGTTCTGTGTTCTGTGTTCTGTTACTGTTTGGTTCAGCGTCTTCTGACGCTTGCTCTGCGTGGGAACCCTGGCGCAGAAGTTAGCCGTTTGACTGTTGACCGTTTATTCAGTGACTATTACATTCCAGCTGTGAGCTCATGAACGAGACAAGGCAGGGAACTTACATGGAACTTAGGGATCCCCAAGAGAGAATACTGCAGTTACACAAGCCAGTGCATAGTTACAAACTTGGGGAGCTGCCTTTTAGAAATACAAGACGCGGCAGCAGGGCAGCAGGGCCACAGGGATCTGACGATGAGCGTTCTGCGCAGGGCAGGAGGCTCGTCAGGAAAGGCTTTGTCTGGAAAGAAAGAGCCGTTTAAGCTGGGCACCAAAGATTATGTAGTAATTTGCTGAACAAAATGAGGAGGGAATAGCATGCATGCAGGGTAATGCGTGCTGGTTAAGCTCTGTAGCTCATATCCAGATGCGTGGGTTGGAGTCCTGGCTCCTCTGCTTGTGGCTTCCTGCTAACTCCTCCCTCCGAGAAGCAGCTCTCAGGCTTGGTCCCTGCCACCCGAGGGGAGACCCCGCTGGCTTCAGTCCCTGCCACCCGAGGGGAGACCCCGCTGGCTTCAGTCCCTGCCACCCGAGGGGAGACCCCGCTGGCTTCAGTCCCTGCCACCCGAGGGGAGACCCCGCTGGCTTCAGTCCCTGCCACCCGAGGGGGAGACCCCGCTGGCTTCAGTCCCTGCCACCCGAGGGGGAGACCCCGCTGGCTTCAGTCCCTGCCACCCGAGGGGCAGACCCCGCTGGCTTCAGTCCCTGCCACCCGAGGGGGAGACCCTGCTGGCTTCAGTCCCTGCCACGCTGGCTTCAGTCCCTGCCACCCGAGGGGGAGACCCTGCTGGCTTCAGTCCCTGCCACCCGAGGGGGAGACCCTGCTGGCTTCAGTCCCTGCCACCCGAGGGGGAGACCCCGCTGGCTTCAGTCCCTGCCACCCGAGGGGGAGACCCTGCTGGCTTCAGTCCCTGCCACCCGAGGGGGAGACCCCGCTGGCTTCAGTCCCGCCCTGTCTCTGCGGGTCATGCCTTTGAGGAGTGCATCAGCGAGTGGAAGATCTCTCGGTCTCTGTGTGTGTACGTGCATCTGCCTTTCAGATAGTTGGAGGGGAAAAGAATTGAGGTTTTTGGGGAATATGCTAATTATATTCCAGATTAGCCTATCAGTTTATACTTCTGTCAGGTGTGAGTGTTTGGTTTGCTTGTTAGCAATTATGGTCTCATTTGTATGAAGTGTTTTTATTTCAACTTGCATATTTTTGTTTACTAATTGGAAAGAACCTTATCCAAATGTTTGTGGCCCACATTTCTCGCACATGTTTCTGGTCATTTGGTTCTTTTTCTTTGGTTGCTGTAACATTATTTTTTTTAAAGATTTATTTTTATTATTTTTTTTATTTGAAAGGCGGATATACAGAGAGGAGAGACAGAGAGGAAGATCTTCCGTCCGATGATTCACTCCCCAAGTGAGCGCAATGGCCGAGGCTATGCCGATCCGAAGCCAGGAGCCTCTTCTGGGTCTCCCACGTGGGTGCAGGGTCCCAAAGCTTTGGGCCGTCCTCGACTGCTTTCCCAGGCCACAGGCAGGGAGCTGGAAGGGAAGCGGGGCCGCCGAGATTAGAACCGGCGCCCATATGGGATCCCGGGTGTGCAAGGCGAGGGCCTTAACCACTTGCGCCACCGTGCCGGGCCCTATAACATTATTTTTAAGCTTTTTTGGGGTGCTCTGGGGAAAGGCTGGGAGGCTCTTGTCGGGAACTGGTGGGATTCTCAGGTTGCCTCGCCGTGAGCACGTTGGAAAAGCCTAAGGTCCCGTTTCTTTTGACTCTTCCAGTTGGTGGGTAGACAGTTCTGTGGAGCTGGAAATCTGGAACCTTCTTGTCTTGTTTTCTAAAAGCTAGCTCAGATCAGCCTGCCTGGAAGGGGTGATCCAACTTTGTAATCAATCAGAATGAATTGCTTGTCTTTTACACTCATTTAGCTCCTGGTTTGGACTCTTAGCCCTTGATGTTTAATTGTTAGGTGGGGATCTCTGTATTCCACTTTCCCGTGAGCATCCTGCAGGCAGGGACTGTGTCCCTGCCTCATTGTTGTCTTCGGATCCTTCCTCGGCACGGACACCGGGATGTGTGAAAGAGTGGCTGCTGAGCGCATGACCCCTGTACTCCCTAACAGCTGTGGCCTCCCGGGTTTGCAGAGCCTCACTGAGTTCTTCAGGTGTGGGTGAGGTCACAGGACGTGGGGAGCAGGACCTGCTGCAGCTTGCCTGCTGCCGGGTGGGGTTACCTTTTGGTGTTTTCACTTCACCCGACACCAGGTGTCTGGGGGAAGAGTCTTAACTGGCTGGAGTCTGAGAAATTTCGACACACGGTTAGGTTTTTGTAGAGCCACAGCTCAGTAAAGTCCACGCGTGTGCTTGTGAGACCTGCAGGCAGGAGCGGATGCAGGGTGGGGTCGTGTTCCAGTGTCCAACACAGCAGAGCTCCTGAGGCGTGTGCCCCTCCATCGAGGCCAGCCTGTGGTACACGGTGTGGTAGAAACCGCTCTCAGTGCTTAGTGCAGTTGATGGCTTACTGTGATTACAGGTTATTTTGTGAGTGAGCAAAACTCCGTTTTCCTGGCTTCTCTTTATCTCATACAAGCTCAGCCTTTTATCAGGACTTTAATACTCCTGATGGTGGATTGTGGATGTTAGCTGCACACTTGAGCGCTTTTCATGTAGTTGTATTCAGCATGTGTTCTAATGACTATTTCACCAAAAACCTGCTCTACCTGGGTGGGTGGTAATCCTTTTGTTAGGAACTTCTTCAGGCTTTTTGGACACTCCGTGCTAGAGGGGCTTTTCATTTCTCTTGGCATGTGTTTACGAGTACTGTTGTGCCTCCCTGTGCTGGATGTGGGAATACAGGGGAGCTAAGTAGTGCTGGGGCGTGTCCAGGCGGGAGGACGATCTGCGAGCTGTGCAGAACCCCAGGAAGGGTAGGAAACGGGCGGGGAAAGGATTCTGGGGAAGGCAAGCACTCAACTTTTTTTTAAAGATTTATTTATTTTTATTGGAAAGTCAGATATACAGAAAGAAGGAGATATAGCGAGAAAGATCTTCTGTCCACTGGTTCTCTCCCCAAATGGCTGCAGTGACCGGAACTGAGCCGATCCAAAGCTGGGGGCTTCTTGCAGGTCTCCCACGCGGGTGCAGGGTCTCAAGGCTTTGAGCTGTTTTTCCATGCCACAAGCAGAGAGCTGGATGGCAAGTGGAGCTGCTGGGATTAGAACCGGCTCCCATATGGGATGCCAACACTTGCAAGGCAAGGACTTTAGCTGCTAGGCTACTGCGCTGGGCCCATAGTTGCTCCACTTCTGATTCAGCTTCCTTCTTTTTTTGGTAAGATTTATTTATTTATTGGAAAGTCAGATAGAGAGGAGGAGAGACAGAGAGGAACATCTTCCGTTCCATGATTCTCTCCCCAAGTGACTGCAACAGCCAATGTTATGCCAATCCAAAGCCAGGATCCAGGAACTTCTTCCAGGTCCCAAAGCTTTGGGCTGTCCTCAACTGTTTTCCCAGGCCACAAGCAGGGAGCTGGATGGGAAATGGAGCCTCCGGGATTAGAACCGGCACCCATATGGGATCCTGATGTGTTCAAGGCGAGGACTTTAGCCACTAGGCCACACCACCGGGCCTGATTCAGCTTCCTTCTAATGCATTTGGGGAGGCAGCGGAAGATAGTCCAAGTATTTGGGCCCCTGTGACCCATGTAGGAATCTTTTGGTGAGGTTCCGAACTCCTGGCCTGGGGTGGCCTAGCCCCGCCTGCCCACTCTCCCACCTTGACTTATTTAATTTTACTGGGAAAGCAGATTTTACAGAGAGAAGGAGATTAGAGAAAGATCATCCATCCACTGGTTCAGTCCCCAAGTGATTGCAATGCAGGTGCTGAGCCAATCTGAAACCAGGAGCCAAGAGCTTCTTCTGGGCCTTCCACATGGGTGCAGGGTCCCAGGGCTTTAGGCCATCCTCCACTGGTTTCCCATAAGCAGGTAGCTGGAAGGGAAGTGGAGTAGCCAGGAAACAAACTGGTGCCCGTATGGGATCCTGATGCATGCAGGGCAAGAATTTAGCCACGTCGCTATTGCTCTGGGTCCTGAGCCCAGTCTCAGCGGCAATATTCTGGAGTGAACAACTGTGGATGGAAAATACCTTTCGGTTTCTGTCACTCTGTTCTTCAAATGAATAAATAAGTAATCTTTTCAATAAAAGCACCGGCTGTAGGTAGTCTTGGAATAAAAGCAATGGATTTGAAGAAAATGAGGTGGTAACATTTGGTTGGTAATCTAATAAGTATGGTTACTCAAGGTGTAGGGAGAAGGATGTAATATAACTTGAGGGGGTGGTGTAGAGTGGTGCTGTTCAACGTTTGCTCTTGAACATGTAATCTTGAGATGACCAGGTTTTTAAGATTTATTTATTTAAAAAAATATTTTTGTTGCAAAGTCAGATATACAGAGAGGAGGAACGACAGAGAAGAACATCTTCCGTCCGTTGAGTCACTCCCCAAACGGCCTCAATGGCTGGAGCTGAGCCAATCCAAAGCCAGGAGCCTGGAGCCTCTTGCATATCTCCCATGTGGTTCAGGGTCCCAAGGCTTTGGGCCGTCCTCGACTGCTTTCCCAGGCCGCAAGCAGGGAGCTGGATGGGAAGTGGAGCAGCTGGGAGATGAACTGGCGACCATATGGGATCCCAACAGTTGCAAGATAAGGATGTAGCCATTGAGCCAGTGTACCAGACCCTGAAGGCACTGTTAACCAAGGTCGAAATAAGTCCCCATTGTTAGCCCTGTAAGAAAACTAACTTTATAACTGAAAAAGCCAATTAGATCTTTAAGCTTAGCTGTCTTTTTGACATGGGTCAAGTGACTAGTTAAGAATGGAAATGCATAGGATGTGGGGGCGATCTGGCTGCGACATCTGTCACCCCACTGATCATCAGGGTTGATTCGGCTGATCTGGGTGGCTAGGTGGGTGTCCCTTCCTCCCTCACTGCTCCATGTGCGTCCCTCCCGAAGCTGCGCGCTCGGTCGAAGAGGATGAGCATCTCCGCTAGAGGAGGACCGGTCTTTGGTCAAGGGTGTGCAAGTAGCTGTGCTCCCCTGCTAGAACCTCCACACAAGCTCTCAAGAATGGAAATGCATAGGCTAATAAACTTGAAGTAATCCTTACTCTTAATATGGAATGAAGCTTTTTTATTTTAGTTTTTAAACATTTTATTTGGATGCCAGATCTTTCCGGAGGGAGAGGGAGAAAGATCCTCCATTCGCTGGTTCACTTCCCACATCACGGCAGTGCCAGAGCTGAGCCAATTCAAAGCTGGAAACTAGAGCCTCTTCCCAGACACCCATGCAGGTGCAGGGCCAAGGACACGGGCCATACGCTGCTGCTTTGCCAGTTCGTAAGTGGGGAACTAATGGGAAGTGGAGCATTTGGGACACGAACTGGCACTTAGGTGGCATGCCAGCATTCCAAGCAGAGTCAGAGGGTTCACCGGCTGTGCCACCATGCTGACCCCCGAGTGAAGCACTCTTGACTTCTTCCAGAAATAGTTCAGCTACCTCAGAAACAACAAACTGCACACCTGGCCTAGCATGTTACCGGCATCGTGCAGGTGTGATGGGGACTGCAGGTGTGTCAGTGTTGACGTCGAGGTTATGTGTATTATGCCTGGTGGACCAGTCTGTGGCTGCAGTTGAACTTGGAAGGAAGGGTGAAGTTCCTGGGGGAGAACCACAGATAGCTAAGGGGTCTGCTCGGGGAGGCAGGGTGGGAGGAGCCGCTCAGGGCACCGAGACGGGTTAGGCGAGGAGAGAAAGTGGGATTTCAAAGAAAATCTAGGGACTAGGAACACGTAGAAGTATGGAGACTAACAAATCCTGTAGGAAGACTTGCTGGGATAAAAACCGGGGAGATGCCTTGTCATGAACACTGAAGGCGGCTTTGGGCTGTCTGGTGGACTCAAGGTTCAGAAGACTATTCACAAAGTTACGTTATCAATAACTGAAGTACGATGACAGTGACTTAGACATTGGAAAAATACAGTGATACTCTGCAGCATCTTGATCCTTCAGAGTAAATTCATAGAAACTGTAGATGTTGGGGCCTGGTGCAGCAGCCTAGCAGCTAAGACCTCACCTTGCACGGGCTGGGATCCCATATGGATGCCATTTCTAGTCCTGGTAGCCCCGCTTCCCATCCAGCTCCCTGCTTGTGGCCTGGAAAAGCAGTTGAGAACGGCCCAAAGCCTTGGGACCCTGCACCCGTGTGGGAGACCCGGAAGAGGCTCCTGGCTCCTGGCTTCGGATTGTCTCAGCTCCAGCCATTGTGGTCACTTGGGGAGTGAAACATTGAATGGAAAATGTTTCTCTCTGTTTCTCCTCCTCTCTGTATCTGACTTTCCAAGAAAAATAAGTAAATCTTAAAAAGAAAGAAACTGTAGATATTAAATATGTGCTGATTAGCTGGAAAATTTTGATTAGAAGCAAAGCTTATATTGGAAATTAAGATCATTTTCCTGTATTACTTCGGTGCCGTTTGCTTTAAAATCACTTACACTGGTATGCAATGGCAACATTAATGTGTACTTTACTTCTATGAAATGCTACCGTTTTGCCCAAAAACTAGTGGCTTAGAGCTGGAGCTGTCCCTGGGGTTCTGCCTCTAAGCCAGCGGGGCGCTTTTGGAGCCTGTTCTGGTGACCTGCTGCGTGCTGACCGCTCTGCAGAGTAAACGCAGGATGGGGAAAAAAGAGATTATGTTGCTCTTTTCAATTTTTTAAAAGATAGATTTTTAGATTTCTGGTTTCACAGTTTATCTTTTTGCAAGCTGTTATCATTCCAGAGCGCACATGTGTGTGAAATGTCCGTGAGACAGTGACACCAGCTGACCGGGGTGTGTCTTGTCCCTCCTGTCCACATCTCCTGGGGTGGATGGCCCTGCCAGCTGGTGCCCTGGCTCTCCTCTGCTCCTGCCGTCTCCTGTGCAGGGAATCTAAACAGTGTCTGTTCAGTTTCCTCTAAGTACAGGCCTGAGAAGGAAGTTGTTTCATTTAAAAAATCCTTACACAGCAAGTTGTACGGCCCACGCAGGGACCTTCCAGGGATGCGCTTCCCTCTGCTGCTCACCCCTGACCACACTCTGGTAGGCTGGGAGTGTAGTTTTACCCGTGTTCCCTCCGGCAGGGAGAGCTTGCCTGCCAGCAGGGGCGGGGAGGACTCTTCTGCTCCCAGGGCAGCAGCACGCACCCCCACCCCCACCCCACCCCCGCAGCACTGCCTGGTGCGTCACTCCCACGGTGCTACAGAGAGCTCCTGTGTGTTAACATGATGTTCTTGGAGAAAAAAAGGGAGCTTGGCCCTCCTGTTCGGGATCTCCCCCACCTCAAATCCACATTGCCTTATTCCTGAGATGCTGCCCTCCACCACTCCAGGACTGTTCGCTAAGGCCCCTCCAGCTTCATTGCTCACCTGTTTGGCTGTGTAAGGATTGCGATCTTCCCTGGGCTGTGTTTGTGGCTGTGCATGGAACCTGAGTTACAGGCCACCACGTAAGCAGCAGGATTGAGGATTCTGGTGAACAGACCAGTTGTCTGCTGTCTAAAAGGCAAGCCAGTGTGCAAAAGCACCTCCGTGTCATTATTAAGAGTAATAATAGTGTGTGGAAAAGTCTGCCAGGGAGTGGAGAATGTCTGAGTCTCGGGTAGGCTGAGAAGTTGCTGTTTGGGGAAGGGCTGCTGTTGTCGAATGGCACGCTAAGTTACTGCTCGTGACGCCAGCACTGGGGGGCACTGTGTGGAGTCCCGTGCTCTGCGTCAGCTTTAGCTCCCTGTTCAACAGATGTCCCAAGTGCTCGGACCCCTGAACCCTAATGAGAGACCTGGAAGAAACTTCTGGCTTCCGCCTGGCCCAGCCCCAGCCATGTGGCCGTTTGGGAAGCGGACTAGTAAATGGAAATTCTCCCTCTCTGTGTCCCTCTCAGATCAGTAAATGCTAGATAAAACAAGACTTCTTCATAGATTTGGGGGGAAAAGTTGCATACATTTAATTTAGGAGGGCCTTAATTTTTGTCTTGTGAATAGAAGGCCAGGTGCCTGTGTTCAGTGTTGTTCATCTGCTCCGTGCTAGTGGGAAACGTCGGGAACTCTGTCGGGAAAGCAGGTCTTACATAGTTTCCCATGTGTGGAAACTGGATACGATGACAGCATGATCATAAAGCATTTTTGGAAAACCAACGTGGGAACAATTTGGTGCAGCGATAAAGCTGCTGGTTGAGTGTGCTCCCTGCTGTCCCAGTGCCTAGCTCCAAGTGCTGGCTCTGCTGTTCCAACTTCCTGCAGTGTGTTCCCTGGGCAGCAGCAGGGGCGACTCAAGCAGCGGGGTCTCTACCACCTACACAGGACAGTGGGCTTGAGTGCCTCGTCCCGTGCTTTGGCCAGCATTTGGGAGGTGAACTAGTGCACCAGCTGATGGGAGTTCTCTTAGCCTCTCGACCACTCCTCCCGAAAACAAACAAACAAACAAAAACCTCCACACAACTGTCACACACACAAGCCAGCATCAGTAATCTGTTCACAGACCACTTGTCTCACACAGGCACAAGTAAGGAGCTGTTTAAGGGACTGCAGATCTGAAAGACAGATTACAGCTCCGGAATGTATTCAGATGACTTTTTGAAACAGATATTTTAATTGGAGTGGGGGTGGAGAAATAGTTGAGCTTCTGCAGTGAAATATTCAACTTCCGTAGCCTGTTATCTATAAATAACACAGATAAAGAAGCTAGTGGAATTCTTTTTCAAAAAATGTGCTCAGCTCACATACATGTATTTGTTTATATGTGTCTAATCCTGCGCCCGCCTCCCGTCAGTGGCTCAGTGATGGGGTGTTTGTCTCAGGAGATTGAGTTGGATTGTGTTTAATTTGTTGCTCTGAGCTGCACGAATGGTAGAGTCCCTTATGGTAGGGTTTTGAATAAAACCTCATCTTCTCTTTTCAAACAAGAGGAAAGAAAGCATTTGATCTGCTTTCTGAAAGTCTTTCTGTACGTCTCGCCCCTCCCCCCCAGAGACAACCAGCAAGGGGAGGAGCTCTCGCGGTTCTTACCGCACTTCGTATGTCTGAACTCGAGCACTTTTTGGTTTCCTGTCGGCAGTAATTCCACTCTGTGCCATCTTGACTTGCTTGAGGGGTGGATGAGTTGGTGACTGCGTTGCGGAGGGAGTTCTCACAGTCCGGTTGGAGCGTCAGACATGAGCCTGGGGCCGGGAGCGTCTCTGGAGCCCTGAACCAGCATCTTTGCCCTGTGACTTTGCCTTGGCTCCTTGTGCTTGGGCTGCTGCTCCTGAGAAGAGCTGTCATGACTCTGCTGGAGCCCGAGATGCTAATGATGGCCGTGCAGTCAGGTAAGCTCCGTGCTTCTGCAGACCTGTTTGCTGTAGGCTTTGTAAAAAAAAAGCTTGGACATGTTTGTTGTAGGATTGGACAGAAATGGGGAGGAAAATGAAGCATAAATTGTCTAGGAAATGTACTACATTTTTAGGTTTTGGTTATTTGTAAAAAAGGACTATTTCTCTAATCCATTAAATAAATGCTTACTGTTCAGAACACTTATTTGTGGAAAGGAAATGCGTGTTTTCTTCATCCTAAGCAAGCTTTTTACTCTTGTCTGTGGACTTCCAGTGAAGGGGATTACATTGCTTTGGCAGTTTTTGTATGTTACCGTCGAGTCGGTCATCTCTGCCTTTGTGGAGGTGTCTGCCACGTTCTCCCCTAGCCGTTCTCCTCGGCCCGTTGTAGCCGTGCCTCACGTTTTGGTTCTGTCGCGATCTCTCGGTAATACACAGAATGGGGACTAAAATGGGCACATGGGGACGTTGGAGCTGTGGGCAGTAAGCAGAAAGGACTTGTCTAAAACTCGTCTTCCAGTTCACAAGTATCTTTTAGAACATTTTAAAATTCCAGTTAGTTTTTGCTGCTTTCTTCTACTTTTAGTGTTTTTAAATTTGTTAAGTCAATTATCTAAAAATAAGGAATGTTCTTTTGTTATTTTTAGACTTCTACTCAAATGTAATCTGTCGTGTTTTCCAAAATGTAT